TACAGACTATAGCTATAAGGTGAATAAGTTCGGAGAATCTAAAGTATAACATATTTGGTAACACTGTATCGTATAATTTAAATTTGCTAAGAGAGTAGAACTTAAGTGTTCTTACCAAAAAAAAAAAAAGGTAGGTGATGGATGTATTAATTAAGTGGGAGGAATCCTTTTTTTTAAAAAAAAGAAGAGACTGTGCAGGTAAGATGTGATCCCTGTATTTTAAGGTGAAATGTCATTTACCTCAGCCTTAAAGAAGAGAAAGCCAGGGTGTGCTTTAATGAAAAGGGAAGTTTTTCTGTGAATAAGATGTAACCTAGTAAAGAAGACATGACTCAGTACTTCCCTGGTGGCACAGTGGTTAAGAATCTGCCTGCCAATGCAGGGGACATGGGTTTGATCCCTGGTCCAGGAAGATCCCACATGCCATGGAGTAACTAAGCCCATGCACTGCAACTACTAAGCCCACGTGCCACCACTACAGAAGCCCTCGCGCCTAGAGCCTGTGCACCGCAACAAGAGAAGCCACTGCAATGAGAAGCCTGCACACTGTGAAGCCTGTGCACGGCAACAAAGAGTAGCCCCCGCTCGTGGCAACTAGAGAAAGCCCACGCGCAGCAACGAAGACCAAATGCAGCCAAAGATAAATACAAATTAAATAAATTTTTAAAAAAGAGACATGATTCATGAAGGGAATTCATTTTAGTCAAGTACTTGGGAAGAAGGCCATATTTACTTCATATTTACTCATGTGGCTAGAAATTGAAAGAGAATATAACAGATCTATATATTTTTATATTTTTACTAAGATGCCTGCATCTTAAAATTTTGTGTGGCTGCTAAGAAACTCAGTGCACTTACATTTTAAGAAGACATGCAAGATATACAAGGGTGGTTGGTCACAATAGTGAATAATGAAAAACAGTAGCATACAAATGAAATAATTGAGGCAGGAAGGCTAAAGTTCCAAATGAGTATAATGGTCTGTAATCAGGTTTTTTTTTAAGAACTGTAATACATTCTGGTGGTTTCTGATTATCTTATTAACATTTCAGAGAATATTGTTATAAAAATTATCCACAAACCACACATTGTTTGAATGTGCTTTTAAACATTTTTCTGTATGTTAACAAAAGTTGGAGATACATTTATATATATCCCCAGGAAACAATATATCAATGTCTTTCTAATATAAATGTATCATGCTTTATTTAATTAACCAGTACCCTAATGGTGGACACTCAGATTTTTTTCTTTTCCTTTTTTTTTTTTAACCATTATAAAAGTGTGATGATTAGCTTTCTTGTTTAGTCATTTCTGTAACAGAGAGCTTTCAAAACCTCTGTGCATATGATGTAAATGGTTAATTAGGGTGCATTGTTTCCTGCTATTGACTAATGCAGTTGTAATGTGGAACTAGCACCTAGTTGTAGGACATACATCATTTTCTAGCTGCTTGGTTGGCATCAGATTGTTTTGTTTATTTTTGAACTAATTTTTAGTTTGATTTGACAATTTTTTAATAAGATACTATTTTTTAAATTTATATTTTGGCTGCGTTGGGTCTTCATTGCTGCGCTCAGGTTTTCTCTAGTTGTGGCTAGCGGAGACTTCTGTTCATTGCAATGTGTGGGCTTCTCATTGTGGCTTCTCTTGTTGCGGAGCACAAGTTCTAGGCACGTGGGCTTCAGAAGCTGTGGCGCGTCGGCTCAGTAGTTGTGGCTCGCGGGCTCTAGAGCGCAGTCTCAATAGTTGTGGCATCTGGTGGGATCTTCCCGGACCAGGGATTGAACCTGTGTCCCCTGCATTGGCAGGTGGATAACATTGTTTTCTTTAAATGTTTTTATGACCCACTCTTTTAATTTTTTTAAACTTTTTATTTTATATTGGAGTATAGTTGATTAACAATGTTGTGTTAGTTTCAGGTGTGTTAAGGTTTTTAAGAAGGCAAATAGTGTATATAAGCAACGCTACAAATGATAGTGCTGGTGGTTATCCCTTTTCCCATGGAGCTGATTGTTTTGGTTAAGTATGGTTACTTAGCGATGCTACTGTTGTGTTCTTGATAAGTAGTTTTCAAGCTGGGGTTTGTTTTGTTGGTTTGGTTGGTTTGGTTTTGTTTCTGAAATGTAGATTCCCATGTTCCATTTCCAGAGACTCTGCTTCTGGTGGGGGTGGGGCGTCCAGGAATCTGGATTTGGTCGCCACCCTCTGTGACTCTGGTGTATGTGGTTCCTGTGTCCAGTGACCAAAATACACGTGATTCTTGAATATTTTAATTATTTCTTAGAATAAATTCCTAGAGTGGGGATACTTTGACAAAGAAGGTGTACTTTTTAGGCTTTTTAGTACATAGTTGTAGATTGTCTTCCAGAGATATTGTATCTGTTTACATACCTGCCAGCAGAGTATAAATATCTTACTTGTCTTTAAATTTTTCTGAAAATTTCAACATTTATATGTAGATTATTATTCTGGCCTTCTTAGTAATTGTTGTTTACTGTATTTGTCTCTAAATGTATACAATTGTATGAAAGCTAGGAGTTGGAACCTGGATGGAATGACGGGCAAAATCTGCTTATAAGTGGTGATCTTCATAGGAGTGTAAGGTTACTGTGAAAGGGTTGGATTTATCAGTCATGTAAAAAAGACTTGGTACCCTTTTAATATGTCCATCTTAACAAATGAAGCTAATTATATTTTATTGAGTACATTTTGGTTTGTTCCAGTAGCCGGATCGAGCTGGGAGATGTGACACCACACAATATTAAGCAGTTGAAGAGATTAAACCAGGTGATCTTTCCAGTCAGCTACAATGACAAGTTCTATAAGGATGTTCTGGAGGTTGGCGAGCTAGCAAAACTTGGTATGATATGGTTTTTCTTCTTCCCTTCATTTGTTTATTCATGTTCTTGACCTCTAGTTTTTAATATCAGGGCAAAAAAAAGTTAACTGATTTAATCTCCTTGTTTTACAAGTGAGGAAATGGGGGTGATCCAGGTTCTGAGAAAAATCAAGATAAAATAAAATACTTGAATTTCAAAAGGAAATGCTAAATATCTTTTCTTATTTAGGCTGTGTCTGTGTTTTCACATATTTAAGAGAGGTCTTAAATTCTGAAGGTATAGGATATTTTTGAGGCTATTGATGCTCAGAGTACCTGATAAAATTTAATTAATGCTAATAACAACAATTTAGTCATTGTACAAGGGCAGGGAAAGATTCAGTAAAATGTGTTATTCTGTCTGCTAAACTTTGTATCTTTGTATTTTCTGTGGCAGCCTATTTCAATGATATTGCAGTAGGTGCAGTATGCTGTAGGGTGGATCATTCACAGAATCAGAAGAGACTTTACATCATGACACTAGGATGTCTGGCACCATACCGAAGGCTAGGAATAGGTAAAATTATTTGTGGGTTTTGGTTTTGTTTTTTTCTTTAAAGAAGCATAAATACATTGGTACTGTTCCTGACCCCACTAAGGCAATATTTCTTCTAGGAGTACTGGGAAAGGGTTACTGGATTATATAAAGTAAGGTGGAAAAGAACTGTTTTATATGTCAATTGAACATAATTCAGTTGAAAGCCCTATATATAAATAGATTTGTTACTAATACCCCTTTTGCTTTTTCTGTTTTCCTTCTTCCTGGAAGGGCTGTATATAAAGCCTGTCTGCTAGCAGTTTTAAACACAGTAGGTAGTGTAGAGAGAAAAAAATTGTGGAAAATCAGGATGTCTGGTGTTTACCTCAAATTCTATTAGGACTCAGTAAGATGTTTAGTTTAAAGATTGATTTTTATGAGATTACTTATTTGTTGTTTGTCTTGTTAATAGGAACTAAAATGTTAAATCATGTCTTAAACATCTGTGAAAAAGATGGCACTTTTGACAACATCTATCTGTAAGTAAAGTCATATTTAATGCTCTTATCTAAAGAATTTAATAAATTGGCAATAGAAATCTTTATTAGAAAATTTAAAATCTGGTCACTTATTGTCTTTGGGAAATACCATGGAAGTGGTAGTTATGAAGTTTGTTTTAATAATAGATAATGAACCTGTGATAAAACATTCTTGTTTTGCTTTATTACATTGGGGTGGGAGCTCCAAAGTCACATATGTGAAACCAAGATTAAAACTCAGATCTTCAGAATTTAAGAAATTAATACCATTAATATTACTTTTATCATGCCATCTGTTTGCACTCTGAGTTTTGTTCAAGGCTCTCAGTGACATGCTCATTAGTAGTAGAATTTAATCATCAAAATCAGAGAGTACCTAGCTGATTTATACTTGAATCTTAAGAGTAAGGCTAAGGTGGCAACTATGGATTCTTTTTCTTTTTTTTTTCATTGAAGTATAGTTGATTTACAATGCTGTGCCTGTCTCTGCTGTACAGCAAAGTGACTTATACACATACATACGTTCTTTTTTAATATTCTTTTCCATTATGGTTTATCCCAGGAGATTGAATATAGTTCCCTATGTGGATTCTTTATAATACAGATATTGAGATTATTCTCATTTTTACTTTGGCATTGGGAGAGATTAAATTATATAATGCTGTTTTGAGGAGTAATTGAGAAAGCAGAAATTATTTTCAAAATCTAACATGTTTTTTATCAATCAGAGAGATATATTCAGGCATTTGAGACCCTAGGTTTTGTTTGTTTATTTTTTAATGTGTTACTATGGTCTTTGAATCATTCCTATAGTTATTTACGTACTTTTAGTTACAGGAAGCTTTTCTCCTCTTGAAATAAAAAATGTTATGATACTTGAACCTTTGTTGATTTTAAGAATAAACGCTGTTCCTGCATCTCCTAATCTCAGCTAGCTGTCTTCCAAATGTTAGATTAAGAGTTAGGTTAGAGGGCTTCCCTGGTGGAGCAGCGGTTGAGAGTCCGCCTGCCGATGCAGGGGACACGGGTTCGTGCCCCGGTCCAGGAAGATCCCACATGCCGCAGAGCGGCTGGGCCCGTGAGCCATGGCCGCTGAGCCTGCGAGTCCGGAGCGTGTGCTCTGCAACGGGAAGGGCCACAACAGTGAGAGGCCCGTGTACTGCAAAAAAAAAGAGAAGTATAAATTTGTCATCAAAGTTTCTCTGAAATGAATACCTAATCTTTGTTGATAACTAGTAATTGTAAAGAAAGTCTAACAAATGTCTGCAGTATTCCAGCTTCAACCAATAGCTATCTGTGGAGGACACATAAAAGCTGATGGAATCTTAATTTTTTTTTTCCGATACCCTCTTGTATCTCAGGCATGTCCAGATCAGCAATGAGTCTGCAATTGACTTCTACAGAAAGTTTGGCTTTGAGATTATTGAGACAAAGAAGAACTACTATAAGAGGATAGAGCCCGCTGATGCTCATGTGCTGCAGAAAAACCTCAAAGTCCCTTCTGGCCAGAACGCAGATGTGCAGAAGACAGACAACTGAACAAATTACAGATGAACTTTCTTGCACTTGCTTGTCGCCAAATAAAAGAGAGGCCCATTGATTCCCCCCCCCCACTTTCTTTTAAACCTTTCCCCCTTCCTTGTTCTTGTGTTACCTCCTTTCAGAACTTCCTTCCCTTTCCTCTAAAAGTTTTAAACTTTTAAGGATTTATTAATCATGTTTGGATTGTTTTAGTTTTCTTATTTTTATGAGGTGGTTTGATTGTAGGAAGGAGAAGGTATAGATCTGTTTAGTTTCACAGTTAAGATATATGGTCCCAAAAACTTGAGTGTCAATTTCATTTTTTTTTTTAATGTCCTGCTTTCACATTGAAGGGCAGAGCCTACAAAATATTGTATATTTCAAAGGACAAGAAGCAGCAGCAGCAATATCTTGTTCTCTAACTCATAGACAAGTTTAGTGTGTTTGTGGTACTTTGGGGGTTTCAAGATTTTGTGGGATACTAATCCCTATACATTGCCTTCACTCCACCTTTTGTCCTTCTGAGTATTATCTCAGGAGTTGGACCATTGTTATCCTTGTAAGAAATACTAAGCTTATTTTGTTCTGTTAAGCAGTTATTTCTTCCTTCCTCGCTGGTGGCTGATGGTGGGTGGGACAGTCTGAGTAAGTAGTATTATACTTTGGTCTCAGCATTTGAGTCTAAACTGCTTTTTGCTAATGAGTGGGCTGTTTGTTAGCAGGTTTATTTTTCCTGCTGTTGATTGTTAGAAGTGGCATTAACTTTAGGAGTGCGGGCTGGTGAGATTAATTTTTTTTAATATCCCAGCTAGAGATAATGGCCTTTAACTGACCTAAAGAGGTTTGTTGTGATTTGCTTTTTTTTCTCCTGTCCTTTTTCTTCAATAAATCCACAATAGTTAGTCAAACCTTAAAAATGGAGTTGAGTCCTTATAGGTCAATGCCCCTAAATAAACCTGAAGCAGGTGTTGTCTCTTGGACATATTAAAAAATACCTAAAAGGAAGCTTAGATGGACTTGTGGCACAATAAATGCATTTAATGTCAGCTAATGCAGATGGTTAGAAGTGTGGCCACTGAGCATTTGATTTTAGAGGAAGGAATATCTAGACAGTATTTTTGAGAATAACATAGCTGTGCTAATTGCTTATCTGTTGGAGAACATCCCAGATTTGCTTACATTCTGTGCCTGTGATTTGAGTTTAAGGATTTGGGGGTGGGGGAATTATTAAACATATTGCTTCTATTCTTGGAAAAAGTAGAAGTCTAGAAGTGTTAATAACGCAAATGTCACTGTGACCTCCTCTACTGACAGGACTGGTTTATGCCAGATCGTTTCCTGGCACATAGGGAGTGGCTTTGACGGGTCGATAACTTTTAAACTCTCCAGAAAGTGGGCATAGAGGGAACCTACCTCAACATAATAATGGCCATATATGACAAACCCACAGCAAACATTATTCTCAATGGTGAAAAAATTGATTCATAATATTTATCCTCTTATGTAAATTCTGCTATAAAAGTTTCATCTCTTCAAATATGTTGAATGACAAAATTATTTTACGCAATGTTTATGCACATTTTATAATCTTAAGTTCTTATTTGAGAATGTAAAAATACAAGGTACAATAGACTTCAGCGGTCTTAGTTGAGTGCCAAGAATAATATAGAAAAGGAAGATAGTTGATAAATGAGTTTATAGGGTTATAATCTTAAGATAGTAAAAATGTAGAAAGATCATGCTGGTTTCTTGGGTATCCGTTTCTTAAGCAGTCCAAATCTAAGCTTAGAAGAAAAGTTTAGCATTAAGCACCTTTACCCTCATGGATAAGCTTCAGCTTGCTCTTGCCAAGAGAAGAGTGCTTGAGTTACAGAAGGCATAATTAGTTTGAAGATTCAGCCTTTTTGTAAACTTCGCATATCAGAATAGATTTTGATATATAAATGAGTTTTGTGAGATGACACTGCCTCTATTTCTATAACCATTTCACCTGGACTATCTAATCAGTCCTATGAATGTATCCCTGAATGTGGTTAATAAAAACCGAATAGCTGCCTCATGACAATTAAGTACATATTATTTATGGAGGAAAAAATATTAAATTTTGAATTGAGTGTGTAGGCTCCCTATCATTTTAGTGTTTCTTTTTCCACACTAGTCACTGACTTTGACCTAAATTGTAAGTGTTTGTAAAGGATGAATTGTCCTACATCAAACTTACATGAAATAATTCCATCCACTTATGGAGGAGGAGGATGTAGAAGAGGTGGAAGCTGGGCACTAGTTCACATGCCTTTGAGTCAGTAAAGACTGAAATAATGTCCCATGTTCAGTTGGTTATTTTGATAAAAATTATCGTTGAGGTAAATTCTATTAACTGGAAGATCACAGGATATATCCACCATATTTTTCAGGGCAGATAGTTTTTTTCTGTAGGGCAAATAGATAAACATTATATTGTACGGTAATTGCATTTAGGTTCTAAAGAAAAGAATCTGCAGAGAAATCTATGCAATATATAATTTGTCCAGATTAGTTTTCATTTGGGGAAAGAAGTTCTGAAATATCCCCAGAGTGGCTTACTCATCAATTGAAAGTCCTCCAAAAATAGAACTATTGGGAAACCATGACATATGGGGTGGAAAAGAAAAGCTCCCTCAGTTTTTTGGAGGGAATAACTTTAAAAATACTTAAATAGCTGAGTTTACTTGGTGCAGTTAAGATTTAAACTTGTTGATTTTAACATTGCTGTTACATCTGAAATAAACTTACATGATGTTCTGGTAGTAATCTGTGATGTCTGGTAAATGTCAAAGAAATGTAAATGCATTGTGTTGAATTCTGAGATCAGCAACTATATATGTAGTCATTGTTTACTGTTACCCATACTGGTTTATGTACTTTCACTTTTCTTTAAGACCTAACTTAAAACTAATTAAAATAGGCCAAGTGTAATCAAGGCCTCCTAATTCAGACCTTTTGGAACTTGCTAGAAACACTGCCTGGTATCTGCAGTTCAGTCCCAATGAGAGAAAAAATAAGATCTGAAGAGCTGTCTTACTGTTACTATATTTTGAATGCAATTGTTAAAAGCACCTGGCACTTTAGGCTGTGAGCTAATTAGCAGTGTGCATTGACTAGAGAGAACATATATTCAGATTTTTTTCTTTCTGTTAACAGTGAGGAAGGAGTTTAGTTGAGTGAGTTGGGAATTGCTTTTTACGTTTTTTCTGAGTACCAAACAAATATGAATTTAGAATTTTGTCTTTAACAAAATTAACTCAGTATCTTAGTCAAAAGTGTTAGAATTTTGCTTATTCCATTCAAGAAACAATGGGTGATCTTTGCCCGATGTGTCTTAATCATATCATCCCCAAATTTAACAGCTTAAAACAATGAACATGCATCATCACCCGGTTTCTGAGTCAGGAATCCAAGGGCAGCTTAGTTATGTGGTTCTGGCTTAAGGTCTCATCAGGTTACAGGACTGTCAGCCAGGGCTGGAGAAGCCACTTCTGAGATGACTGACTCACTTGGTTGTTGGAGGGGTTCAGTTCCTCACTATGTGGGTGTCTCTCCAGAGCTGCCTGAGTGACAGCTGGCAGCTGACTTGCCCCAGAGCGAGTGATCCAAGAGAGTAAGCAGAAGCCATACTCTTGTATGACCTACCTTCAGAGTGACATACCTATTACTTCTGCCATATTGCATTGGTCACACAGACCAGCAGCCATTGTACTAGCCTGGTAGTATGGGAGGGGGATACACAAGGATATTAATACCAGGAGGTGGGAATCAGTGGACCTGGCTACCATGTCATGTTTGGAGGAAATGTTGGGTTTTATTGACAACCAACACAGGGAAGTTGGAAAGGTTCTGTTAATCTTACTCTTTGAAGGGCTTGATTTCCTAAATGAGGGTTAGAAAACATTGCACTTTACCGTTATTCAGGGTGTTAAAGAAGGGACTTCCCTGGTGGTCCAGTGGCTAAGACTCTGTGCTCCCAGTGCAGGGGGCCTAGGTTTGACCCCTGGTCAGGGAACTAGATCCCGCGTGCCACAACTAAGACTGGGCACAGCCAAAGAAGTAAATAAATAATTAATTTTGAAAAAACAATGTTAAATAGGGAGTGGACCTAAAAGTTCTGCTCTTATGGTTGGGTTTTCAACTCTGTGGGCTCACTAATCTGTCTCCCAGGTTGGTGCTTTTCTAGTTGTGTGATCTGAACATTCCTGGGAAGTTGAGTACTGTGGGGATGAGTAGGAGTGATGAGCCTTTGAGAATTTTTCAGGGAATAAACCATGACAGAGGGTCCTGAATTGGACTTCTTTACAGTGCTGTACTACAGGAATTTAGTCCTAGTTTAAGATACAGCCAAGTAGCATAGCCATATGGGAAAAAAGTCTTGAGTTAGATTTTTAAATGTATCATTAGGTATAGTTATCTTGATAGAACATTGAGGAATGTAAAGTGAAGAGAATATGTAATCTGTTACTGGGGCAGAAGTTCTCACGTTTTCAATTTTCTAAAACAGTTCAGTAAAAAGTATCTAGAATCAAAGCCTACTCCAAGAATAACTGGGAGCATAAAGCTAATATGAATCAATCCACCGCTTAAACAGGCTGGAATTTAAATCTCAAAGACTTATAGCCTGGTTTTTTGTTGTTGTTTTGGGGGGTTTTTTTTTTGCAGTACACGGGCCTCTCACTGTTGTGGCTTCTCCCATTGCAGAGCACAGGCTCCCGACACGCAGGCTCAGCGGCCATGGCTCACGGGCCCAGCCGCTCCGCGCCATGTGGGATCTTCCCGGACCGGGGCACGAACCCGTGTCCCCTGCATTGGCAGGCGGACTCTCAACCACTGCGCCACCAGGGAAGCCCCCTATAGCCTGTTTCAATATTAATTTGTGATGGAAGCTTAAATCCAACATTTGGGAGAATAGTCTATTGTGCAGGGATATTTGGAGTGAGTGAACTTGGAATTAGTTATTCCTGGTATACTGAAACTAATCTTGCCACATA